CTTCGAGATGTTTATTTAATCCTCTATAATCTACTACACATCTTTTTGATCCATCTGGTTTTGGTAATATCATTATGAGTGATACCCATGCTGCTGTTGAAGGTTCAAGGTATCCGTTGTCAAATAATTCCTTGAATATAGCGTTCGACTTTTCTTTTTCCTCTTGAGACATAGGTCTAGGCATACGTTGTTGATCTTTCTTTGGTATGCCTTCTAATATTGATTTTTCTTTTAGCTTTAATTGTATTGGCATATTAAAGCATTCAGAATTAAATGTTGTTGCTTTTTCTTCTTTTAATCGAAAAATATCTTTATAGTATTTCTTGAATACAGGTTCTAGTAAATTTCTATATTCTGGGTTTGTCTTTTCGAGTAAAAGTTTAAACCTTTCTTCTGGTTTCATTTTTTCATTATCATCTTCTTCCGGGTTAATTACTTTTGCAAATCTATATACTTCTTTAATATTCTTTAGATTTGCTATGTGATATCCTTTTGGTATTTTGTAGTTATTATATGTCCAATTAATAACTTGTATTGTTTTAACAGTTCTATCTATGTATCCATTTTGGATCATAGTTCCATTTTGAGCTAAATATAATAGTGTCACTATATAGCCTATATTTAGTATAATTGGTATCGCTGTAAATATATACAGTTTTAATATTATCTTCTTCTTTGTATATATGGGTACTCCTGTGCCCATAGTTGGTAATATTATCCTTCTTATTTCATTAGATATATGGCCTAACTCTTCATATAACTTTAGGTTACACATTTTCTTTTTCTGAGGTCTCCAGTATAATTGTTCTAAATTCATAATTTCGTCAGTATTATAACCATACTGATTATCCTTCAGTTTTACAGGTGGTGTGCCTCTTGCATTACTCTGTATTGGTTGTTCACTACTACTGGTTGATTTTATATTTGTTGAGCTAGAGCTAGTAGTTTTAGCTATTGATGCTGCTGAGTCTAATAATAGAGGTAATATTTGTGGTTGACTTGTTGGTTCTCTTATCTGTACACGTAGTGGTATACTAGATCATCTACCTTCTATAGACATTTGTCTACTTCTGTAAAATTCAGGGTTTGAGCTTTGCTCTTGCCACGTTGTTTGCTTTGCGGCATTATCTTTTACTACTGTTTTCAGTAGGGGCTCTTTCTTAGGTGGTTTATTGTAACCCCATCTTGGTACAAATGACCAGTTACTCTTCTTAGCAGGTTTGCTAAATGGTAACGGTAAATTTAATGCTTGTATATTATGTAAAGTTACATTACTTTCTTTTGTAGAAGTTTTTTCTGTTATAGGCAATGTTCTTGTCAGGTCGTTTTTATCTCATTGTTCAAGAACTTGGCCTATAACTTTATCTTGTTCTTCTTGAAACTTTTTATCTTCAGCTGCAGAGTTTTCACTCCATGAAGATCCAGCTTCACTTGTCATACTAGCATTACTACCAGAATGCTTGTGTTGTACAGGTGTCTTTCCTTTAGTTTTTATTTTATTTTCTTTTTGTTCTTTTTGCCTCTCTGCTATTTGTAATTTTCTATGGTTTATAGTTACTTCCATTGCAGCGTTATCTCTCCATCTATTGTTAGCTCTTTTTCTTTCTTCTTCATTTTTATTTGTATTGGCTATTGCAGTCAGCTTAGCTATAACAGCTCTTCTATGAGGTTCTTTTAGATTTATATATTGTTCTGGTCTTATATCGAGAGCATCATCTGTATTCTCAATATATCGTGTTTCCTCATTTTCTAAATCTTTGTTATAAGTCCTCTGTGTTTCATCAGTTTGTTGATCATACCATTGTATGATTTTAAATAGTTTTTCTTGTAATGTTTTATGTGACTTAGTTTCTTTAAGGTTTTGTGATAATATGTCGATATTTTTCATTTTGTCGACATGTGTCTGAGCTTCTTTATCACTCATTTTCTTAATTCTTTCAAAATTAAAATCAATGGTTGCTATTTGGTCTACGAGATCTTTAAGTGTTTTAACTACTTCTTCGTTTCCTTCTTCTTCTTGCAACTTTTCTAATTTTTTCACTTTTATTCCATATTGTCCTATTAACTGTCTAAAAGTTTTTGAAGTTGGTGGCAGTGTATTTTTGCTTTTTCCTGCAAAAGGTGTAGTTTAAAACTTGTTTAATGCTTCATTTGCTTTGAACATTAGTTGTTCTACTTGTTTCTTTCTCATTCTATCGATAGATTCTTGTTTTCTAGACTCTTGATACTTTTCTTGACCTTCTAGTCGTAGTCATTGGAAATGGTCTTGTAGACTTACTATTTCTGGCGATTTATATTTATTTACTGTTTGAAGGATTTCTTCTTTTCCTAATTCTTCTATTTTTTGGAAATCTGACTTGAACAGTAAATCATCACTTTGTAAAGTGTCTTCAGGTTTAGTATACTGTCTTAATGTATACACTTCTTGTATTTGTTCCTGTTTCTGCTCTTTAGTTTTTCCAGGTGTTTCTAATATCATTGCTTTCATTTTAGGATGTTGTGCTAGCATTTTAAATATTTCTTGTGATAATTGTCCTTGTAACAAATGTGCATGGACATCCTGTCCACTACCATATACTGTTGCCTTCTGTTTTCTTATAGATCCATCTTTCTGTTTTATTTTCCTTTCTTTCATTACATTGTTTATATGTAAGAGATGTATTTCATCTCCATATCTTTCCATAACTTCTTTATAGTCATCTAGGTATCTACCACATCCTGCTGCAAAATAATGTTGAGTGTCGAAACATAACTTGAGACGCTCTATTTTTTGCATTTGTGGTAGTTCGTTTGGGCTTTCATGTATTACCACTTTAGTTAATAAATTCTTGTTTATACTACTCTTGATTTCTAAGAGTTCTTCTATTTTCGCTCCATAATACTTGTTGACTGCTGAGTTTTCTAATAAGACCATGACGTCAGTGTTTACAGTTTGTCTCAGTATAGCTTCCAAGTTTTTCTTAATGTGATCTTTCTGATTCCTTCTTGTGTTGGTATTATGTTTCTCGAGACTTTTGTTCCTATATGCAATACATATACTTTGCTTCCTATTGTGTATGCGCGCTTTATTTCTTCAATTATTCTTTTAATTTTCTAATCAAATAATCCTTCTTGTATAGCATCATTGATGCTTAAGCCTATAGATGCGTGTATTACTATATGTGGTTTTACTTGCAATTGTGACAGCTTAGATTGTACAAGCCTGTCATTTTTTATATTTGGTATCCCTTCTTTTAGGGTTACCCAGTTCTTCATTATTTCATTCTTGGCATACTGTTGTGTTTGTCTATATATCATGAATGTTTGCACTATATTACTTCCTGTTCGTATAATGGCTTCTTGAATTCCTTCTCAAGAACCATCACATGTGACTCCAATTAGATATTTTCTTTTTTGATTGACTTCGCATTGTTTCTTAAATAGGTTATATTGCTTCTTATTTAAGTCAATTGTTTCGTAGTTTGGTACTTTATATAGATTGTGAATATACATTTTCCCATTTCTAATAACTTTTTGGATTTTCCAATTTTCTGGGGGTTTTCTCATTGGTCTTTGGCGATATTTTAAGGATTTATATTTGTAGTTTTGCTTTAAACATTGGGTGCCTTTTCCTTTTTGTTCTCCTAGATTTTCAAATTCATTTGGGTTGGTAATTTCTGACGAAAATTCCGAGCTGGATGTTTCACTAGATTTATCAGAATCTGACTCTTCTGCGTTACTGGTATCCTCAGACTCAGATGAATCAGATGATTCACCACTTCTAAGAATATGTCCTCCTTTTTTGGCCAGATGTGGACTTATCTTGCTATTTAGCTTGCCATCACTTAGCGCAGCTAAATAGGGCTGATCATCCGTTTGCTTGCGGTCTAGTTGTCTTTGGTTTGTTATGGGTAGACCCCGTAATAAAATAAATTCATCAGGTAGTTTGACCGTTATCCCCAGTTGTCGCTTAGTTTTATTTGATACTAAAATATATTTTAGATATGATCCTAGTACGTCTATCTTAATGTTTGTAAAGAAATGTTTATCGATTTTTATATTGACAATTGCTTTTCCAATTATAGTGACATTGTTTGATTCTACAGCTTCTGCGGTTGATTTTCTTGGGTAAAATTTGAAGTGTTGTTCGTTTTTCTTTAAAAGATCTAAGTGGTTCTTTCCCATTATTGTGCAGATTAATCCTTCATCAAGTTTGAATTCCATAGGTATGTTACATACTTTTCTATAAAAGTAAAATCCTTTTACTCCTTTAGGGTCTAATTCGGTTTTAACAGTTTCTTTAGGCCAATATAAAGTATTTGTAGCAGAGTAATCATTTATTTCGGTTAAAGGTTTGGATACTTCTTTATTAATATAATATATTTTGTTATTACATAAATTTGCATTATCTTCATTTGAAGTATTTTGATTTAACTCTGTGATACAGCCTATTGGTTGTATTGGGAG